CTTCCTCTGCTTCAGTTTGTGCCCGTTGCCCCTTGTCCTGTCGCTGGGCACCACTGAAAAGAGTCTGGCCCCATCCTCCTGACACTCACCCTTGAGATACAAGCATTTATAAGGTCCCCTCGCAGCCTTCTTCAGGCTGAACAAGCCCAGCTCCCTCAGCCTCTCCTCACAGGAGAGATGTTCCAGTCCCCTCACCATCCTCGTAGCCCTCGTTCAGCAAGTATCTGGACTTCCATTGCTTCTGCAGAGTTTAAAGCCAGCGATGTGCAAGATGTTCTCAGGAGGGAGGAAGGGTAACAAGGACCTCCTGAATTGTGCTCCCTGGCTTTGTGGACCTCCGTGGATCCAGGCAGGTGTCTTTCGGGATAGGTGTCTGCTTTGGTCTCCCTTCGTGGCCCAAGCGTGCAGCTTGGCATGGAGGGGCACGACCAGCGGTGCGGTGTACCCGGATTTCGGTCTGGCTGAGGGGTGTCATAGGTCCTGCCTGCGTGATTTGGTGGATCCCTGCATTGCCAGCCTTAAAGTCCGTGGGCTTGATGGTGAGCCTTCAGAGACCTGCGAAGTCCTTGTGCAGCCGGGCACAGCTCAGCCGGCTGCGGGTCGGCTCGCTCTGTCCTGTGGTCCACAAGGGAGAGGAGCTTCTGCCTTGGATTGCGTCCCGCTCTGTGGATGTGGAGACCCCGTCTCTGTCCACGCTGCCCGCAGACTGACGGCCTGTTCTTCTGCCCCGCAGGCAGATGGGGGCAACGGAGATCTAGACCCTGGCATCCTGCTGACCGCTCAGACCATCACTTCAGAAACCACCAGCAGCACCACCACCACGCAGATCACAAAGGTAACGGGACGGGAACGCAGTAAAACAACAGCTCAGACAACACTGACAACACCGTGACAGAGCGATGGGCAGAGTGGAAAAACAGAAAAAAAATCTTTTGAAATTTCCTTTCAAAAAATGGGATTTTACCTGAAACAAAGCACAAGGTTTGCCTGCGTTAAGAGTGTAGTTCATGCATTAATTGCGGTGCAGTCTGGGGACACGGGCTCTGACTGTCCTGTGGGACAACGGGAAAGAACCGTACTGTCAGTCGAAGCGCTTCCCTGGCTCGGTTCTAAGAAAGTGAATGTTTGACAGTTCTTCTTCGAGCAGCGGCGGTTTTCCCCCGTGATTCTGTTACCGTGGTCTGACGGCAGTATTTGGTAACGCTGTTTTTGGATACTGTCTTCAGCGAGGCAGCCCCAGTGCACTCGAATTCCTTCTCGCTGCCAGACTAACAGCAGTTTTTCCTTTTGTACTAGACTGTGAAAGGTGGCATTTCAGAGACACGGATTGAGAAGAGGATTGTCATCACAGGAGATGCAGATGTAGACCACGACCAGGTAGGAGCTGGGATGTGGTCCAGAATTGCTTCTCGGAGCTGGCACGACCTAGACAGGCTGCCTTTCCAAAGAGAACTTAACCAGAAAGCAACCTAGGGAAATTTTACTGGGGTAGAAATAAAACCTCAAAACTGATTTCAATAATAAATTCCTCTTTGACAGGCCGCAGCTGTATAGGTGGGCCAGCAAAGCTTAATTCTGCTCTGAAACTGGTGTTGGCAGCAAAGTTTTGATTCCAGAATAGTTTTGAACAAGTGCAACTTAAAAAACGAAATCCACAAAAATGTGCAATAAAAGTTTTCCTTGACATCTGGATGATCTGCATTAATTGTCTAGTAACTTTGAAGCTCTGTTGCTGCTGCATCGCGCCAGAAGTCATTTCACAGCACTCAGCACCTGCGTTAAATCGCCTTGGCTTTATGTGAAACCTTTCTGATGAGTCAGCCTCGTTGGCCCGTAGCGTGTGTTGGAAGCGATGATGCTGTCATCAGGGAATTAGATTTCAAATTTAATTTTAGCTGCAAGTATCATGGGGCTTGAGAATATTTGTACGACAAGAACTAGTTTATTAATTCCAACAGAAAATGTCTGAAATGTGCTCATGACACTTGCTGGAAGAATAAACAGGATTTGCTTAATTACTCTCATCCATCTTCCACCACGGGGCAGTGGAGAGATGTGGTGTATTCTTGGAAAACAGCTTTTCCTTTCAGAAGTAATCTAATGCCACCAGAAGTCACCAAACTGTGCGGCTGACGTGGATTCACTTTTTATTCTCTCCCCAGAGTTAGCAACAGTCTCGTGTCGCCCTGAGGACGTCGGTGGCATGCTCTGATGTGTGTGGTCTCTTGCAGGTCCTAGCGCAGGCGATAAAAGCGGCAAAGGAGCAGCACCCGGACATGTCGGTGACCAAAGTGGTCGTGCACCAGGAGACGGAGATCGCAGAGGAGTAGCGAGGCCGTGTAAGTAGGGGATGATGCGCAAACAAGTGCCGGGTGCTGCTTCCCCCCCGTGGCAGGGGGCTTGATCTCAGTGCAAGCGAGGTTTGGCTAAATATGGTCAAAGTTTAACTGAAATTATTATTGTTAGCTGAGGAGTCCCACTCAAGCTGTTCCTATGAAATCATTTAAGACTGATGAAGCAGGCACAAATGCAGACTAATCCTGCAGTGCGTGTGAGCCAGAATCACCTAAAAGAAGCTGCGTGGCTCCCATGATGAGGCTGTTTTGCCTTGGCAAACACCTTCGGTGCACCAGGAGCTATTGGTTTCACGCAGACCACTGCCTTTACCAGTGCCAGCTAACCTCGGAGCTCCTGGCTTGCCTGGAAAGATCCCTTTGCTTCAGTTTTGATGATTTTGGGAAATTGCTGCTTGAGGAATCCGTCGGCACAGCAAAGCCCACCCTTCCCCGTTGCCCACGTCGGTGCCGTGCGCTGCCCTGCCTCATCCCACCAAAGCTGGCCCTTGCCGAGATTTGGGAGGCAGAACAAGAAGTAGTTAGGTGAGAGGAAAGGCGGCGTGGTGTAACGGACAGCGTGCTTGAGCTTGTTAACTCTCCAAACCTGAATAAAAATGGCGCAGGGTTCCTTAGCCCTCCTGGATTTGCGGCTCTTAAAATCCGGCCCCTCAAGGGTGGGAGCGTATGGGCCCCGCGCCTGGCCCTGTCCCACCCCCCGCCGCTGACGGGAGCTCATCTTCCCGTTTCTGTGCCCCAGCCGCTTCAGGGAAGCAGATTCCCCTTTTTCCCAGAAAACCGGCTGTTAGCAGCCGGAACTTACCCTGCGTCTCTCTCTCTAGGAAGCGTTCCTGCCAGACACAACGCCGGGAAAAAGAAACCCAGCAAAACTACCAAGAAACTACCTGGAGCACAAAGACCTCGGATTGACAAGACTTGACACTCAGAGACACTCAATTCGTATCATTTAGTAGGAGTTGCGCTTTGACATTTTACTTGGGGTTTTCCAGACTCCGCTGGATCCTATTGGATATAGATTTTTTTTTTTAATATTAATATATATATATTGTGACAAAATTTTGCCATATTTCTAACTGTACTGAATATTTTTTACAGGTTTTCAATTTTGCATTCCCTCTCACGCATAGCCTCTTCAGATACAGCCCCCGACACACCTCGCAGGGCTCAAAGGGTCGCTGTTTTAAGTCGTAATTCCCTCCGCCTCGTCAGGGATAACGGAGATAAGCCACACCCGTGCATATTCCGAGCGTGGGATCCCTACGCGCCTTCAAAAAGCCGTGGGTCCTTCCGCTGGGAGAGTCAGTTGGAAAAAGTCAGACTTCAGTTTTGTGCAGCGTTTCCGATTTGCCTCTTGATTTTTATAGCTGGAGGGAGCTTGAGACCCCGGCCGCGATAGCAGGGCGTGCAGAGCCGAGCGGCTGCCTTCGCGCCGCCTTCCCTCCCCGCTGGGTTTCAGGCCCCCGTGTGTGGACACAGTAGGGTTTTGTGGTGTAGCCGATGCCCACATCGCGATAGCTGACTAGATTTAAGGAATACTGGAAGTTGCTTCGGGTATCTGATACTGTGAATTTTAGAGCTTTAAGAGGACTGTGATAGCACCGCGCCTTCCTCCCGTGTGTCTCTGCCGAGTGCTACCTACCTGTTTGTGTTTTCTAGATGCCATTAAATTAAAAAGCCCTTAGAAGCGTGCGCTGAAGGTGTTTGGACTCTGAATGCTATTAAGGTAGGCTTCTGCAGCAGTCACAGGAACTGATTTTTTTTTCGGTGTCGTAGTTTTTTCACTTGTTTGTGTTCATGATTTTTACATTAGGGTTTGTTTTTTTTAAAGTCGGGGTTGGTTTTCTCCTCCCCTCACAGTGCTGTTTGAAGCTAAACTGGACACCCATATACCAGGGCACATACCCTACTATAATTTAATTTAAATTCCTGTAGACAATCCTTCCTAGGCCTGTAAGCTGTGTTTGGAGAAGCTGAACAAGAAATCTTAGATGTCAGGTGTTGCTGGTCGTGATGGAGCCAAGGACATGGAAAGTGCTGTCACCCTGGCGCAAGGGTCTGTGCTTCGTTAGGCTTTGTGACTGCCTCGCTGGAATGAAATACCAGGGTTAGTGTCTGCGCCTGTAGGCTGAGCTCACAGACCAGCGGGGCCGTCTCCAGCGTGTGGGGATGACCAGAAAAGATCTTTTCTGAGGCTGGATGTGCTTTCCTCCACAGCACTGGGGGCTGAGCTCCCGCTGCTGCTTTCTGAGCCTCCTGGAAATGTTTTATTCGTGCCCTGGTTTCTCCTTCCAGCACTTAAATTTAAAAAGAAGAAAAAAAACCCACCAAACTTCGTAAAGAGTCTGCCCAGACACTTGTGAACACTTTAGTACACTTTGAGGTTGTGATTTTTTTTTATATATATATAGTGTGGCACACTGGTAGCTGAGGGCATGGAGTGCTCTGCTGCTGCTGCTCCTCAGTCGAGGACAGGAAGAAAATGGCAATAAAAAAAAGCTCTCTGCTGTTTTAAATTTGAATAATGTGTTTCAGAAGTCACTGGATTTAGCTCAGGCTGCAATGACTTGCTGTTTAGCTGCAAACAGCCTTCGAACTACACTGGGGCTAGTGTAGCTTCTCCGATTCAGGTGCAATTTTAATTAAGCTGTCAGTATTGATTGGAGACTATGCTGAAGACGCTGGAGCTGCTGGATTTTTGCTTTCCTTGAGCCTGGCTGGCCGTGAGTCCTCCTCAGCCTCCAGCCTTCCGCGCCGGTAGCTGCTGCTCGGGGTGCCTGGTCCCCTCCCGTCATGCTCTGTGTTCCACTGCGGACCGGGCACCCTGCGCCGGGATTTAGGGAGTCCAGGGCTCCACAGCTGTAGTGTAGAGGTGAAGTCTGCCTGTTTATGTCTGAACAGCCCTTTCCTTCCTTCTTCTGCAGCACAGATCCTTTAACGGGTCTGTGTCCCTGCTGTTCTCAGCTTCGTTGGGTAACGCTTGCCTTAAACGCCCATCGCGCTGAGCATCCCTCTGGCCACGTCCCTTTGCTAGGGATTCAGCTTTTGGCCACTCGCTCCTTCCTCCTCACCCCGGAGCGGCTCCCCGAGGAGGAAACGGGCCCGCCGAGCAGCCGCAAAGAGGCTTCGCCAGCCAAAGCCAGCGTGATAAATGAGGTTTGTCCATGGCACTTACAGGCGCTTGGCTGTCACGAGGATTTAGGGGAATGCGGTGCGAGGTCGAAGCTGGGCCCTGGGTGTTCCATGGGCTGTCCCGTACCCTGAGCGCGGCGAGCGGGACAGCACGCCCTGAGCAGGGGATTTCCAGGGTGAGCAACCTGCTGGCACAAGCGGTGGTTCCCTTCCGAAAGGATGTGCTCCCCGTGGCTCCGGACACCTCTTTTTAAGGGCTCATGGACTAGAACAACCCTATTTTATTTTTATTTTTTTTCCCTGGGGTTTTGGGTGGCCGTTTCCAGGTTATTCATTCTCACACCTCCCCCTTCCGAGGAGAGCAAGCGCCGGCCTGGGAAGAAGATAAAAAGTTCAGAGTAGAAGCGGCTTCTGGCACCCGTGGCCGGGGCTGCCCGCACCCCTGCCACCTCCAACGGGTTTTGAAAATCCTCGGCTCTTAGCGTGCTGTGTTATTTCTAGGGACAAACCAGCTAAGTAAGGTCTATTTATATGAATGTTCCCAGCTCTTCCTACTCCACAAGTTCACCCAGAGACTGTCTTGATTGTATAATATACATTATATGGAAGCTATTTATATATGAATGAATGTTTTTATGGCAAGGAAGGCAAGGAGCTCCTGCTCTCCTCCATTAAACTGGAACGGCAGCGCTGGTTGCCAAACAGCAATCTCTGACCGACACAGATGCGTTAGCAAAGGACTGACTGATTTCTGGTTTTAATAAACTGTGGTTTGCTGATTTCCTAAGTGTACAATTACCTTAAGAGGTGGTAGAGCCCCAGCCTTAGCGATGAAACTTATTAAAAAAAAAAAAAAATTTAGCTGAGAATATGAAGGAGCTTTGTAAAATTTTTTAAGGCAATTGTGAATTGTCTAGGCTAGCCGTTTACACTCTTCTTTATAAAAATAGGAACTTTTAAAATTGGCAGATCTTTATAGATGAATAGCGATGGGAGCTGTTATTTTGGACTTTCGTAGTAAATCAAAGGGAAAGTTGCCGTAGCATTTAGACAGACGTAAGTGTTCGGTATTGCTTCTTGTATTGCATTTTTCAATAAATTTTCAAACAAAACCGCCTCCCTGGCCCTGAAGCCTTTTTTTCTTCTTCTCACCCTCCTCCAGGTCTCTCTCCCCAGCCTGGCTTCATGGCAATCTGCTTTTTCCAACCTGAGCCAAACCCAGTGCATCCCCGGCAGAGCCAGTGCCGGC